ACTCAAAAAATATAAAACACATAATGCCACGGTAATGTGGAACTTATTAATTTATAGAATAATCTCAATAATCCATAATACCTAAATAATGTTTAATACTATATTAATACCGGTTTACAGTAATAGTATTAATACAATTTAAATATTAAGTAATTATCTTTAGTAACTAAACAGCCTTGGCTACTATAAGAACTAACTAAGCTCACAAGTAGTTATAACTGTTGTGAAATACAACAACTTCCTTTTTAAATAATTGTAACATACAACATAACGTTTAATTATTTATGCAGTTTATTCGTTGTATTTTTAATTTATTATCAATATTAAAAAAATAATGGAAATTTGATTAAAGATAAATTCTAAGTAACCTAAAATTATTTTATTATTTCTTCCATTATCTAATATGGATAATAATGCATTTTATATTGTATTATATATTGTTTATAATAGACATGTGTGTGTATGAATAACATTGTTACTAAAAAAAAGGTCAAAAACATGTGTCTACGCTGAAACATTAAACCGTTAAAAGTATTAATTATTATTGTTATTAGAATTTCACATTAAGGGATTCTGGTTGCCGTTAATTCATGTAATACTACAGCAGAGTTGATATTGTAATACAATATAATAATTCATAATAAACCGAGACAGAGGCAAGAACAATTAATTCCGGCTGTGACCAGCGAGCTGTTTTAATTGCTCCGCGATTGTAATAATTAAAATCGTTGATTTTTTTATTTTTTTGTAATCGTCTTTGGGTGGTCGGAATATTATCCTATCATAACATCAACTATATCTATCTATTCCACGCCAGCATGTGGTTATTCTGAAAATCGATTTAGATTTTTATTCAATCAGTCCATTTGAAATCAATATACAATCATCCTCCATTATTATCGTTTTCGTCTTGCGTTTTTCTGTTGTTATAAGATATTATAAAATGTCTCGAGGGGATACATTTTTCTATTATGAACACTCGTGCTATCTCGAAATTTATATCTATTAAAACTAAACGGTATTTTATATTTTTAACAATTGTTAAGTTTGATATAATATAAAATCTATATGAATAAAACGTATGTATTAATATTATGCATTACAATTTTATTTTAACTAGCATGCGTATAACGTATTATAATAATAGTTGTACCGTTGTTGTTAAAATTTGTTTGTGGTGATGCAGTAACCTTCGTTTATCGCACTTTCACTTGGTATTTAATAAATAATAATATAGGGCAACTATAATAACAACAATAATAACGATTATTATCATTATTATTATATTTCATTCAAATTTCTTAATTTATTTTATAAAAGTAACTATATAATATACATCTATAACAGTGATCTCAAACTCAAATTACCTACGGGCTATATATTTTTTCAAAAAAAATTCGCGGGCCAAATTTTAAGTGTCACTTTTATACTTATACACTAGAAACTAAAGACAAAATGAAGGCAAAAATACATACAAAATCCATTTTTTTACTTTTTATTACTACAAAATTATCATTGAAAAAATATAATGATCGTTAACTTAAAAAAAAATTATAATTAAAATTTAAAAATAGCTTGAATATTTGATAATTTTTATTTTTGAGCTGCACTGTTTTCATATTTTTCTTCAAAATGTATTTTTATTGCGGGCCACATAGAAGGGGTTCGCGGGCCACTTGTGGCCCGCGGGCCGTATATTTGAGACCACTGATCTATAATATAAAAAAATATAGTTACCTATTTTAATACATAATATATATGTATATTTTTGGTAACTATATCAATAATAACTTGGAATTAAATATAATTAAGTATTAAAAAATGTTTATAATGTTAATAAATAAGAGTTAAAATATTACAACAATGTCAAAACATATTATTTTCATATTTCACTCTGAAATACAAAAATAAATTTTTATCGTTAATTAAAAATCTATTATAGTTCTATTTATTTTTAGATACTTACTATTTATAGTTTATTGTCTATATTATTATGTTTTTAGTTGTTATTACTACTCAAATGTTATTAAAACCACAAATTAATATCATGGTAATTTTTATCGTATTCTAATAATTTTAATTGCGTATTTTAAAAACGGATTGTTTTTTTATTTCAATATTTATTTTAATTTTTGAGTAAAAATATATCGTTAGACAATGTTATTTAAAGTATTCTATAGGAGTAATGAAATAATGACGAAATATAGGTACAATAATTAATACTGTTTATTCTTACATTTAATCTTATTATTTATTTTGATAAGTTTATTTAAATTTTAAAATGTTTTTACTTTTAATACGTATTATTAAAATTATTTTGGAATTTTGTTTGATGAGTAGAATCATGTTCAGCTTTCTACACATAAAAGTGAATTAGCTTGTGAAATTTAGATCCGTTATCACAGAAAACTTACATTATGAAAACACCAACAGTAAATAATTGGCGTGAAATTACCATTAAAGATTAACACAATATGTCATCAACTTATAAATTAAGTTTTATAATAATATTTAACTTAAAAATACTAATGTATTACTTTTATTATTATATAATAATAATACAATATAGTTTGTAAGGTAATAAGTATTTAAAAAAATCACGCACAATACAAATTATCATGATATTGTGAAAGAAAAAAAAAATGAAGATATTTTTAAACAATATGAAATGGTAGAAATTGAATTTTTTTTAATTACTTTTTCTTATCGGATAAAGAAGAGGTTTTTTAAAACTATATTCTATTAATTATTGGTAAGCACTTTTAAGTAATATAATAGGTATAATTTTGGTATTTAATATTTTTGATAACAATTGAATTATGTGTGAATATTTTGAAACAACTGGTCACTCATTTTAAATTTGTTATCCTTAATTTTTAAATAACTTTTTTAGTACTTGTGTAAAATAGAAATGATACGTATTATCATTAATATTTTATACATTACATAAATATGTATTAATATTTAAATTTATAAATATATATATTTGTTAGTACGTACTTACATATTGAAAAGCATAAGGAATTTTTTAAATGAATATGTTGTTTATTAGTAGTAATATTTCTATTAATTTGTACTTGTATTAAGACTAATTTTTCTCATAATTCTATAAATGTAATGTAATAAATAGTTTTAAATGTTAACTATCTAATTTAGAAAATATTTCGTTAATTTTGTTCAATAATACAATTTTTTAATTATCTATTATTTACTCAAGTATATAATTACTACATTTTCTTAGATTACTTTATTGTACTAACGTATAAGCTTTTGTTAGTTTTAATTTACTTACGGACTATGCGTACTAGAAATATCAAACAAACGATTATTAACCAATTAAAATTACTATAAACGCTTCATGCTATAAATTGTACAGTGAAATTACAGAGAGAAAACTTAGAAAGAAGAGTTCTTAAAGAAAATATGCAAATATTTGTTAAAATTGCTTAAAATAGTTTTGTGTCATTTTAACCATTTTTTATAAAACATAAAAAATATGCAATATGTTTCTAATTAATTTCACAATTTTACAAAACAAATTTTATCTAAACTAGAATATTATAAAACTATCACAAATAACATTAAAATATATTATAAGTCTTAAATTTAAATACATATCATATTTAAATAATTAACACTGATATTTAATAAAATAGTCTTGGAATATAAACAGTTATTTTTATGACTATTAAAAAAAATTATACATAGGTATTCGTAAATAACAAATACATATTTGTGATATAAATAATATTTTACAATACAAATTATTCAATATGATTTTAATTATTGATTTTAAAATAATAAAAACTCGTATTTAAATCATATAATTAAAAAAAAAACAGCATTTAAATTATTTTAAAACTATTCAAGTTTCTTAGCATAAATTACAATATATTTTAATATAAATAAATATTTAATTTGATAATATGTTTTATTAGGTAGAGTTTCATGACCAAGTCATAATAAATATTTCAATAATGCAGTTAATAGTATAGAACCTTTCTAACATGTAACTTCTTATTTATTTTCGCTATTAACTGAATAATTAATCTAAGTATTCTAAGTTATGTATTAATGCGAATAACTTACTGGTTTCAATAAGTTTTCATGTCAGGTTTTAATTTATACAAACACTGCATATTTTATACCACTACTTAGGTTATTTATGCATTTAAAATTCTATCTTAAAAAATATAATATACTTGTATTTTCAATTTTGTATATAAGTATAATGTATACTGTAAAGTATGTTTACTATTTAAATTTAAAAATTGTAAATATTAAATAAGCAGAATAAATGAAAATAATTATGATGTATAATTTTGGTTAATAAAAACTATAGAATGCATTAGGAACGTATTTTGTAGTAAATATTTGTAAATGATAAACTTATTTTTTTTTTTTAAGTTAAATAAAATAAAAATAAAAATACTACATTGATTTCGATTTTTATTTTTATTTTGGTTTACTTAATCATATGATAAAAGTGTACTTTAATGTATATCAAATATATCATTATAATTGTTATTTTGTAAAATAATTAAAATAAATTGTACAATATGTATCATTCTTATATTTAATAAGCACTAATTAACTATCATCATCTATAGTGTATAATTTATAGCGAGGGAAACTTATCATTATTACATATAATTTTTTAAGTATACTGTATAAACACTACTGGAATATATGATGTGATTATTTTCACCTGCAAGTGAAATTCCATCACGACTCTCTCTATGTGCCGCCATTAAAAAAATATACGTGCGTTTTACCAGTTTATATATTCTTTTGAAATAATATTCTTTAATAAGTTTAAGTAAAATGTTAAAATGTGACCTATAATTTTATAATAACTGACCAATATGTTTTGTATACGTATACTTAAAATGTCAATTACGTTTTTTCTATTGTTATGTGCTATTGTTTAGTAAATACATTATCATAACATATTCTATCGACATAAATAATGTATATTTATATTGTATGTTTGATTATAGGTCAACAGCAGAGATTCTTTTTGCCTTCATCAAATAATGGAAATTTTGCTTTACCTCGAGTACAATTTCAAGAAGATGCAAATAGTGCTGAATTGATTTTACCTCAACGTAAACTATCTTCTGCAGATCCTTTACCACTATCTAATCCTAGTTCATCTAGTTTTTTTTCATCTCAACAACAGCTTCCACCAGGAACATTTACAAATTCTGGACCGTTTTCACGGCCACCAAATGTTCAACCATTTATTTTAAACGGACAGCAAACACAGTTTCAACCACTTCGAAACCCAGGTTCTTTAAGTTTCGTTGATTCTGTTTCACCACCATCCTTCTTTCAACAAGCGCCACAGCGTTCACCAACATTATCACCACCACCACAACAACAACAACAACAACCATTAACACAACAGCAGTTTAGTTTTTTTCCAAGTAATTCTCAACAACGATTTCGATCGGGTATACAGCAAAGACAACAACAACAACAACGAACAGAACAACCAGATTCTACAGATAATTTTGATGAACATACAAATGCACAATCCTCGTTAATATTAAAACAATCAAGTCAAGAAGGCTTTAATAGTGATACTTCTCGCCGTCCTTTATCTCAAACTAACGGAGTGATACCCAGAAATCCTTCACCTACAGGATCCATTAGATGGTGGAATCCTACAACGGCCGATTCAGAATCAGTGGCAGTAAGCAATGGTGACTCAGTAGATGGGATAAATACAAAAGACGATACTGTAGAATTAACTAATCAAAGACAAAACCAACCACCAAAACGTGGACGCGGTCAACCGCAACAGGCTAAGCGAAGACCCATAACTACACCAGAGCCATCTTCAATTATTAACCTAGAAGAACAACAAGAACCAGCCGCTATTGGATTTACAGTAATACATGATGAGAATGATGATCGACCATCGTGGTCTCAACCAATAATTACTACACATAGGCCACAACCTGGGCCAAATGCTTTTAGAAATAGAAATCAACCTGCAGTAGTTTCAGGATCGGTGATAAATCGACGGCCTACTACACTTAGTCCATTATCTATTTTAGAATCTTCTTCTACGACTATACGATCTGCGTCCCAGCAACCTTCAGCATTATTTGGAACAGTTAATAGACAACAAACAACTACTGTAAGAAGTAGAAAATCGTCCTTGTTTCCTACAACCACTACTACAATGAATACTTTAGATTATGAACAGGAAGAAGAAGACGAAGAAGAACAAACTGTGGAAGAAAAACGTCAATTCCAACCACGAAAGTCTACAACAACATCACAACCACCTACAGTTCCAATTACTACGTTGAGAACTGCTCTAAGACCAAAAATTAATTCTCTAACAACTGCAAATCCACAACAACAACGAATGAAAAAAATTGTAAATAACCCAGCAATAATTCAAAGCATAAACACCAGAAAACCATCAATAACAAGTACTAGTACATCAGCTCCCACAACTACTACAGAACGTGAAATAGTAGACGAATATGAAGAATACGAAGATATAGAACATACAACAACAGCTTTTACAACAACTGAGCTACCATCAAATAAGAAACAAACAAAAATTCCATTAGAAAATCAACCATCCATAGTGACAATAAATCAGAAAAATAATAATAATTCAATAACAACTACTGAAGGTTGGGTTGTAGTAGCAAGTGTACAAACCAGTAGATCAGTTTCATCATCATCTTCAATTACGGGAGGTGGAACAAATAAGAATCATTCTGTGCAAGAGTTAACAACGTCTACAGCAACTACTCCTACAACGAAGCACAGGTTCAATAATAAACCTATAATAACAACTACTAGCACAACAACAGTAGAAAGTATCATCGATAAATTAGATAGAGTTCAATCGGAACTTTCAAATGGTATATTGTATGGTAGCTCTTCTAATACAAATAATGGAAGTCGTATTTTGACTGATATGCAGAGTAGTGGTAACAATGATGATAAACGAAATGATGTGATTATATCATCATTTACAACTCCAATCACTGAAAAATCAACCAAGACTTTAACAAGTACAATGATCCCCACAACTACTACTACAAGTACCACTATTACTTCAAGTTCTCCCATTACTACCACATCTTTTAGTACTACCAGTGCTCCCAGTACTACTACAAAATCTGAAAAAGAAGAAGACGAGGACGAGGATAAAGATGAAGAAGAAAAAGAAGAAGAATCGGATGACTCCGATAAAGAAACAACGTTTGTTCGAAAATTTGTACCTAATAAACAGAGAACTACAACTGTTGCTTCTATTACTACAACTAGTACAGTAAAACCTTCAATTCAAGCTGGAAAGAAAAATAGATTAATAGATTCTGTTAAATTTGATGATTTATTAACTAGTGGATTACTTCCAGCTGGATTTAATCCAAAACCACCTCCAGCATATAAATCTAAGACGATTACAACCACGACTACAACTGAAACACCTTTACCAGTTACTAATAACATTAGTAGTTCTCAAGCAAAAAGTAATAATAGTAGTATTTATACTAATACTACACCAAGTACAATTACAGCAAAATCAAAATTATCAGGTTTGAATATTAAATTTGTAGATGACTCATCAGCATTAGCTTCGCTGTTACCACCAGGATTTAAATTAGAAGATGCTATTAAACCTGTTGAAATCTTGTCACCTTCTCTATTACCACCAGGATTCAAATTACCTACTGAAAATGGTGAAACTACTAATAAAAATAAAGAACAAGAATCGATTACAATAACTGCTATACCAACGACTGACGTTCCGTTAACTACTACAACAACAACGATGGCTAGTAGTACATCAGGAATAGTTTTTCCTAATAGTGGAAAAGGCACAAATAGCTCTGGAACCAGGAAGCCATTGCCTTCTAATAAAAAAATGCAAGGTGCAGTAACTATAGCTCCTACTATTCAAAAGGGATGGCCAGTTAGGTAATTGTTATTTCTATTCAAGTATTTAATGTTATTTTTTATTATCATACGAACTTGAGTATATAAAAATTAATTACATTTTCAGGGTTGTAACTGAGTTCACTGGCTGGTCTACTCCATCAACAACGCCATTATCTATTGAAAAATTGTTACAGCAATCAAAAGCATCTGAATTAGCTGCTATGACATCTACTTTAGAGCCAACTACTAGCACTACAACTACTACAACGACTACTACAACTACTATGAAACCACCACCAACTACTACCCCTGGCCAGTGTTCTGAAAATGACTCAGTGTGTGAACTTGTCGGTACTGTGCGAATAGTTGGTTCTGGAACAGAAAAATGGGTACCTGAGTTATTAGACCACAATACTGCAGAATGGAGGTTACTAGCAAACGAAATTGAAACTCAAGTAAGTATATATTTATATACTATTATTATAATATAAATAATTTAAATTTGTTAACTAATTATATAGCTAGATAAAGTATACAGCAAATCACCGGCATTAAGCAAATGGTATAAGACAATAACCATCGATTCATTCAGGTATGTGTATAAATTATATTCAAATATAAAATTTTTAAAAATTTGTTAGGTAGTAATTATTGAAATATAAATATAAACTAAACATATAAATGAATAGATATTAATACTAAAGTAATAAAATATTAATTTTTCTTCTCGAGGATAGTTTGTATAATAATATCATAGTTTATAATATTTGGTGTACTATCATTTATCATCATTGATAACTTATTATCATTTGCCAAATATAAGAATGTTCAGTTATTTTAACTTATAATTTAAATTTGTATATTAGTCCTGAAAATAATGGAATCAGTAATGGAAAACCTGATAAAAATGCTGGAGTTCTTGTTGATTTCTTCGTGCAACTTAATCAACTTGGACGTACAGTCAGTACTGCTGATATTCGACGTCTATTTCATGAAACATTACAAAAAGAAGGAAATCTAGGATCTTCCGCACAACCATTACAAAATGGAAATGGTGGTGATTATGAAGGTCTTTACTTAAAATTAGGAAGGTTTACTGTTGACCCAGCACGTACAGACTTTATAGGTAAAGAACATTTTATTAATTTAATATAATGAATTTTAAATATACCTATTATATTATAAGTAACTAATATTAAACTTTTTTCTTATCAGTATTGCCTAAACCTACTAGAAGTGTGACAGCAACCGCTGGATCTGATGATGCGTGGTTACCACAATGGGCTGTAGCTGTCATGGTTATTGGCCTTGCTTCATTACTTTTCGTATTAATATTTGGCATAACAGTGGTATATACATACATATTCATAAAGTATTGTGTTTTTGGTAAATTAACAACGTTTTAATATTATTTCATTATATTTTATAGCTCGTAAGTCGTAATAAAAACAATAAAAAAATACCTCCACCGACCCTGCAAGCATCTATGATGTCCGATGACCAAAATCAACATATATATGGCACGGGTAAAAATGGCCCAACTACTGGAAGTCGTCATATGATGCATCATCCACCATCTCATTCAACTTCCAACTATAACATTAGTTCATATGGTTACGATAATTATGCGATTGATGATGATATGATGATGTTAGATGAAGACGATTTAGAAGACGTGGATCGTTTGTACGACATGGATGCGGTTTGGTCCGACCATGAACACGAAAAAGTCAAAGTTCCGTCGAATATTGTGGGGAAAAAGGTTTGAGTTTGTTATTAAGAAAATATCTACAATTTAGTTTATAGTTATAATTTGTTTTAAATATCCTTTTTACGATAATGAATTAATTACAGCACCGAGACACACAGCATGGAGGCCATTATGATAGTTGGCGATCAACAGCGTTATCCCCTCAGGCATTAACACCAGTTCAAACTGGATATTATACTAGCGGTGGTGGTTATGGTTACGGCACAGATCCAAGTGGTTACGGAGCTGAAAGACGACATTACCACCGAGAAGCCACGTCTGTTGCAAATCCACGATCGCATCATCATTATCCCAATGCTTCTTACACGACTGGACCGAGGAAACCACCTCAGCAGTATCACCCAGACTACGACACTGATTTTTAATACATTTTTATTTGTTTTTAAAACGTAATTTTCAGTTGCCATTTAAATTGATGCGTGTTAAGAATTTCCAGTAATAAATTAAAAGTATTACTTTGTATATAACAATACTCGCTCATTCAATTTTTTATTTTATTTTTTTATTATTTTATTTAAAATAATTTATAGATATTAAAATTATAAGTACTATCTCTTCGAAGTGAATCATAATTTAATCATTATATACAACGTATAACTCTAGTCAAACAACTACTGAAAGTAAATTCAATTGTATGACAAAACTATTCGAACGAAATATTATGTGATTTTATACTTACTTTTTATACCTCTTTAGATTTTTTCATTTTACTTTATTATAATATGTATATTTTTTTTGAAAAAAATTACCTTATGAATTTAAGTATTTTATTTTTACACTATATATTTTTATTTTTTATTTATATATTTTTTACGAATATAAAGTATCGATTATTATAAGTTTCTGACTTTGTAGAAGTGTCATACTTGGGCTAAGTTTTAACTTTATCTTAGTATATTTTCATTACAAATAGCCTTAGAACTAATTTTAGTGAAAAAAGTTTGGTCTAACTTTAAATATATAAATAAGTATTAAAGTACTGTTCAAATTTACTTGTCTAATTTTATTTCATTTTTAAATAGCTGCTAAATTAACTAGGTAACTAGTGTATAATTATACAAATATAATAAAATCAGACATGCGATTTGATTAGTATTTTATTTCTTATTTATAAATTTAATTAGAGTAAAACCAAATTCGTTACTAAAATCAGTCTTCTATGACCATTTGTTATGAAAATATTTTAAGTTTAAGTTCAAATTAAAAATAATTAATAAATATAATAAAAACACTTTAAGTTTATATAAATAACATTAGAAACAATTCTCAGTTTCCAATTGACCCGAGTTATATTTAGTTCAAAAATACTACTACAACTTTTACATTTTTAATAATTTTCATCTATATCAAAAAATAATATATCTCGTACTCATATTAAAAAAGACATTTTTTAAATGATTACTTAAGTCATCATTCTATTTTTTAGACGTTTATTTCATACTAATTTTTTAATTATTAAAAATAAATTACTTAACTTAAAATATTATTGATCAAAACTAAGCACGGTGATGTTAAAATTTCGTGTTGATAATAGAAAATGTATCATTGATAGAAATTACCGTGTTGACACCAATAATATTTTAAAATGTGTAAATTTTTTTCCAAGTATAGCACTTCTATGGATTTATTATTATTTTAAATTTTTATGATATCTTCTGTTAACTAATTATTGTTATTATAATATATTATATGTATATATTAAAATAATTTTGATGTTATTTAAAGTTATAAAATTGTACCTGATTCCAGAAATATTTATCAATTTTCAACGATATAAGGGTAATAAAATCTGTATAAGCTCCCAATATTAAATATTAATAGTTCCCTGTTTGACAAATTCTATTTTAGTATTGTGAACAGAAGTACAAAGTTACGAAGAAGTATGAAAACCGTAAAATGTATTTACGTATATATTTGGTAATTTAATATTTTTATATTTGTCGTAATAAATATTTTATTTTTATACATTGTATACATTAAAGAAAACCCGAGTAAAATTTATTCATTTTTCAAACTATATTTGTCATATTAGAGTAATTTCTGATTTTAAAAATATTTGAATTCGTCGACTATTAAAAAGAGTAGCGACGTCCTCGGATAACGTATAAAGTATAGGTATTTTCATGTTATTATAAAATTCACATATTATATTGATTCAATTATTATTCCAATATTTTTAGTTAAATTATGTCTACTATATGTTTTTAATATATATATATATATTATTTAACATCGTATGATAAACGAATACATCTATATAGGTATAATAATTAATTTTTTGTTGAAATTTGAAACATTCGTATATTCATATATAACTTTCAAGTTCTGAGTAATGCTAGGAAATTATTGGATTTACAATAGCATGAGGGTAAACTAGGATATATCGTCAACATAGTGAAAGAAAAAGAGCAAACGTGAATGCACGAAAGTAAAATATCGAAAACAAAATGAGCAAAACATATTATTATAACAAGTAAAAGTCCATCATTTACGTTTTCGTCTTTTAAATACTTTATATGAGCTGTGTACTATATGAAACTATAATGAAAATAAATACTTTAGAATTCAATTCAATAAGCTATTCGAATATTGGCGATGTATAGATAAATTATGTAACCCTTTACATAGCATTCTGATCATAATTTTATCGATATAATTCAAAATGAAGTGAAATTAATAAACAAAAATATTAAAAATCGTGCTGTTGTAACTCAACATAATCCCGGAGTTTCAATGAGTAAAGATAATAATAAATATTACAATAAATCGTCATTTTCAGTAGTTTCAATTGTTTTTTGTGCATTTTCACAGATCGCACATTTAAAACGCATAATTTAAAGAACGAGATAAAGAAATTGCTTAGTTTTGCCTAATTTTCAAATACTCAATCATTTACACTAATTATTGCCAAATTATTATAAATTAACAACTAATGGTAAACAATTCAATTTTGCGACAGTATTGTAGTATAATATTGTAAACAATTTAAATAGTGTTTATTAATTTAATATATTGAATTAAAACCGTTAGGTAATATATTGACTGATACCGCGATATGATATTGACGACAATAATAAATTATTAACGTAAAATTTTATTCAGGAGTCGTCTGATACCGCTAAATATACTTTAAAAAGTATTTTACCACCACTTATCTATATAAAAGTTGTACAAATTGTAGTAGATTATGTCTGATTTCTAAACGACTAAAAAATATTATTGGACTAAATAGTTTTATTTGCAAGTCAACTTAGGTTCAAAAATAAAAATTGACACCTCAGATAGTTGTAGAGTTTTAATACATTGTATAAAGACACCAATTCCTAATATCATACAATAATACGTATATCAACTTCAGTCTAGTAAACTATATAGAATATGGTGAAAAAAATATTTACCCAACTACTCTGATAAAAGATACTACTTTGGCGATAGGAAAAATTTAACACACTGTCACAAAAAATATTTACAAATAATGTTTATCTAATAAAAGCATATCTTTATTATTGTTTGTTACTGATTTCGGTGTAAACAACAAAATTATATTCATCACTTCTTTGCTTCACATATAAATCAAGTTTGAAGAACTTCATTAAAAAGGTCAAATTCCATAAAATCGAAACTATTAGTCATATGGCTGTACAAGACATTATTCTCCAAGATATGTCAATTACTAGGACAATTATCTACCTTCGTTTTTTACAAAATTGATACATCATTCAAAATAACTCATTTCTTCTTATTCGTACAGCATTAACTCAAACTTCAATTACCATCAATAAACACTAAAAACTCTGAATCGTTTATATGCAGCGAATGTTACATATTAAGTTAACTTATCACGCAATTTTGATCAAAAATAATAAAATCTTTTGATGTTTTTAAATCTATCTTTAATCTTCTTATATCCTTCTTTTTATTATTCTCATAAACCTAATTAGTATTAAGATATAAAAATTCAAACATAACTTCAGTCATAATATAGAATCCTCTCATTTCCGACCTATTATCTGTCCTTTCATATCAGGCGACCCTGAAAGACATATTAACCGCAAATCGTGTATCGACCTGTATGTAAATAAATACATTCAGCCCATCCAGGCGTCATGAAATTCCATCAATAAATATATAAATTAACGTAAGTTTAAATAATTAACTTCTCAATATGTATCACTTTTATTTATTGTAGAATTTATATTTAAAAATTGTAAAATACATATAGACATTTATAACAATAAATAATAATAAAAAATAAGCTAATTTGAGTTGGTAATAATATTGTTATTATTAATAACATTATTTTATTTTATTGAAAACTTATAATAAGCATTTAGTGTGTTCGATTTTTTTAGTTTTTATTGGATTGATATTTTAAATTTAATAATATTAAATATTAATATATCAATAAAAATGTTTGTAAGAGTTAAATACAATAAAAATACTTTGTTGATTTTTTTTGTTTGTAAGTGTTTGATAAATTTGAACGAAATTAGATTTTTAAACGTTAAATAACGATATTAAGATATTTCGCTAATAAATTTTAATAAAAAAAAAAAAAAAAAAAATTAAAATAAATGTACCTTAGGAATTTAAAACTTTTTGCTATTACTTTTGCAGTAATTTTTTATCACAGTAAAATTTTCAAAATATTTAGACTAATTTTAAGCACAATACATACATAAAATATCCTATAGTCCTCATTCCGTCAATAGTTTTAAAGATAAATTATTAAATTTTAGTTTTGTGTATATTTTTGCGAGTAAAGTCATTCGTGCATTCCCAAAATTTAGTTTTTATAACATATAATATAATTTTGATATAGCCTTCATTATAAAACAGTATAATGTATTCAATACCTATACATATTTATTGGTTTATTTTCAATTAACAAATATTTAATAAACTGGTTAAAGATTTTCAAGTAAATATAGTAGATACAGTTTATTTTTATTAATCACACTATTAAGAAATGTCAATACAAATGTATGCAAATAATAGAATAATGGTTTTCCGGTAAAACTAATGAAATAAAAAAATTACAATTTCTGTAACTAAAATATACATTTTTAATTAATTGACTGTTTTTTTGTATTAACACAATTATTATTGATCAAGTTTTACTTAAAATTTTTAAAATATCATAGTTTTTAGAAATATTAAAAGGTATTAAGAGGATACTACACTCCGATATTTAGTATCTGTCTTACAAAATTGTTAATTTTAAATATAGAATAAATTTACCTGTTTACAAACTTAAATGTTAGACCTGAAGGAAATGGGCATAGAAGACTGGCGAGTAATTGTTCAAGACAGAGAAAAGTTGCGGGATATTGTAGTGACGGCTAAAACTCTTAGAGTGTAAAATAGCCAAAAGAAGAAGAAGAAGAAGAAAAAGAAATGTTAGCGTGCCGCACAGAATAGAGTTTACTTCAAGTCTGGGCACACATTTAATATATCCTAAGTCAAAATAATCGA